CTGTTCCACAAGTGTCAGCCACAAGCCCAGAATCCCCGTCAATCAGTGTCAGTGATCTAAACCCACCTGGTGTGCAGAAAGTTGTGGTGGAACATCTTGTACGCACAACTGACTTAGCCATAGCTGGAAATTCACCGCTACGGCTCCGAGTTTTTTCTGGACGAACTCCCCATCCGTCCAACGAGGTTGATTATGAAACTTGGCGCACTAGCGCTGAACTACTTTTCCAAGATCCAACAGTCTCCGATTTCCACAGAGTGCGCAGAATCTGTGAGAGCCTTCTTTCCCCGGCAGCAGACATAGTAAAATCTGTTGGCCCGTCAGCATCACCTTCAACTTACATTCAGCTTCTTGATTCTGCTTTTGCGCCCATTGAGGATGGTGATGAGTTATTCGCCAAGTTCCTGAATATATTCCAGAACCCAGGAGAAAACCCATCCGCTTACTTGCAACGATTGCATGTTGCGTTACAGACCACTATGCGCCGTGGTGGAGTCCTTGGCTCAGAGGTTGACAAGCATCTACTTAAGCAGTTTTGCAGAGGATGTTGGGAAAATTCTTTGATTCTAGAGTTACAATTAGAGCAGAAAAAGCATTCACCCCCATCCTTTGCAGAGCTAATGACTTTATTACGAACCGAGGAGAGCAAGCATGCTTCTAAAAGTGTACGAATGAAACAACACCTGGGAAGTGTTAAGCAGCGTGCCGTGATACAGTCTCAAACAGCCACTAGAGATGATGTGACTCAATTTAGTTCTGTTACTGCTCAGTTGGCAAGTCAGATAGCAGAACTCCAAAATCAGCTTGCACTATTAACTTCAAAACAGTCTAAAGACAAACCAAACCCCTAGTCGAACATGTTCAAATCCTCAAGTAAACAGAGTGCCATCAGTCCTAAAGGAAAAACCAAAGTTTCAGACACATTCCAGACAGCTAGACCAAAACCAGGCTATTGTTTTAGGTGCGGAGAGGATGGGCACATTGTCAGTTCTTGTTCCAATGACCCGAATCCAGCCTTGGTGTCAGAGAAGCGAGATGAGCTTGCAAAGAGACAGCGTGAATGGGACTTGCGGAATGAAAGTTCTAAGCCATATTTAAACTGACGGCAGTTCCTATTGCGGGACGAATGGGAACTGGGATTGAATCAAAGTGTCCCAAGCCTTTTAGGGCACTGTCAGCCCATGCACAAGCAAGGTCACGACAATCTGTCTTACCCAAGGGCTTAATTGGAGCGAAATGCACTGCGCAAGTTGATGTTGGAGGAGTAATGTGTGACTGCTTACTTGACACTGGTTCACAGGTCACAACCATCACAAAATCCTTTTACAATGAGAACCTGTATGATCAGCCAATTCATTCCTTAAATGATATTTTGGAAGTTGAGGGTGCAAATGGTCAAAAAGTTCCTTACCTTGGCTATGTTAAACTGACCATCACTTTTCCCAAGGACTTTGTGGGAGTTGACACAGAAGTACTTACTTATGCTTTGGTTGTCCCAGATCTCCCATCTACTTCTCAGCCTTCAGTGTTGATTGGGACAAACACCTTGGACAACCTGTACAAAGACTTTTCACAGCAAGGAACTAAATACTTTTCTCCTACCTATGGATATAAGCAAGTGCTAAAGATTTTGGAATTGCGCCAGAAGCAGAATGTAGAAGGGAATGTTGGACTAGTGCGGCTATCTGAAAACCTTTCTCAAATGATACCTGCTGGACAAAGTGCAGTTCTTTGTGGAAAGGTTTCTGTTGCTGGATCTCATTTAGATAAATGGGTAGTTGTAGAACATCCATCCTTTTCCCCTCTGCCTTGTGGCCTGATTGTTAAGACATGCATTGCCACGCTTGAAGACGAAAGACATTGCCGCTTACCTGTTGTAGTCGCCAACCCTACCGCACATGATATCACAATTCCTCCTAGATGTGTTTTGGCTGAATTAAAAGCGGTTCAGTCTGTGTATTCAGAGGAGCGTGATGACCATGATAGTAAAACAAGCTCCATTCCAAAGTCCATTCCTGAGTTTAATTTTGGTGATTCTCCCATCTCACCAGAATGGAAGAGTAGGCTTACCAAACGGCTTCAAGGAATGCCAGAAGTGTTTTCCTTACATTCCCAGGACTTTGGATGTACCGATAAGGTCAAGCACCAAATAAATCTTGCAGATGAAATGCCCTTCAAACATCGGGCAAGACCCATACATCCAGAAGATCTGGAAGCTGTAAAGCATCACCTTCAGGAGTTACTTGATGCGGGAGTTATCCGAGAATCTCAGTCCCCTTTCTCCTCTCCCATTGTCGTGGTCAGAAAGAAGAGTGGTGACATTCGATTATGCATTGACTATCGGAAATTAAATCAAAAGACCATCAAGGATGCGTATGCACTCCCCAAACTTGAAGACACGTTCATGGCCTTAACGGGGTCCAAGTGGTTTACGGTTCTTGACCTAAAATCTGGTTATTACCAAATTGAGGTTGAAGAAGCTGACAAGGCGAAAACGGCTTTTGTATGTCCGCTAGGGTTTTATGAATTTAATCGTATGCCACAAGGGGTCACTAACGCCCCAAGCACATTTCAAAGAATAATGGAAAAGTGCATGGCAGACATAAACCTTCGCGAGGTCCTGGTGTTCATAGACGACATTATCATCTTCTCCAAGGATTTGGAAGAACACGAGGAAAGACTGTCTAGAGTCCTAAATAGACTTAAAGAGTATGGTCTCAAACTTGCTCCAGAGAAATGCGTCTTTGCACAAACCTCGGTTAAGTACCTCGGCCATATAGTGTCAGACCAAGGAGTGAAAACTGATCCCGATAAAGTAGCAGCTGTCAAAACCTGGCCGGTTCCTAAAAATTTGAAAGAACTCCGTTCCTTTCTCGGATTTGTTGGATATTACCGACGTTTCATCAAAGATTTTTCCAAGAAGGTGAAGCCTCTAAACGAGTTAACTTCAGGGTACCCTCCTACTCGGCGGAACTTTAAGTCTGTGAGTAATGCCCAGTACCGGAACCCTAAAGATCTCTTTAATGGCAGGTGGACAACCGCTTGTCAGGATGCGTTTGAATTAATCATCAATGAGCTCACATCTGCACCGGTGCTGGCCTTTGCAAACCCAAGGTTACCATACATCCTGCATACTGATGCAAGCACGTCAGGTCTGGGCGCTGCTCTGTATCAGGAGCAGGATGGACAAGTCAGGGTTATCGCCTATGCAAGCCGGGGGCTTTCGAGTAGTGAATCCAAGTACCCTGCCCATAAATTAGAATTCCTGGCACTTAAGTGGGCAGTGGTAGAAAAGTTCCATGATTACCTTTATGGAGGCACTTTCACAGTGGTGACAGACAGTAACCCCCTTACTTATGTTCTTTCTACTGCTAAACTTGATGCAACTGGGTATAGGTGGTTGGCTGCACTCTCGACTTACAATTTCACACTGCAATATAGGTCCGGAAAGCAGACTATGGATGCTGATGGGTTGTCTCGTCGACCCAACGAGAAGCTTCCGACTGATGATGTTTCTCTGAAGAAACAAAAACGCATTCTTAATTTCACTGAAAAGCTTACCAAGAATTCTAGTGAGCATGAACTTAGTGATGATGTGGTAAGAGCCATCTGTGAGAGTCGTCTTATCCAATGGCCAGAGTGTCCTAATGATTTTCCTGCTGCATTCGTCAGTTCTTTGCCAATGCAGGAAACCGCTGTACCTGATGCTTATGCAGAAGAGGATCAATGCGGAGGACTACCGACCATTTCTCATCTCTCTCCTTCTGAAATTCAAAGTGCACAGTTAGCCGATCCTTGTATCCGAGAGGTTATTGCACAACTTCGAACTGGAGAAACTCCTCCTAGTACCCTACGGACTGCTCTTCCCAGATTGCCTTACCTCCTTAGAGAGAAAGACCGTCTGGAGTTTCACGACGGAATCCTATACAGAAGAAGGAACTTTGCTGAGAAAACTACATACCAACTGGTCCTACCCGAAAAATTTCATCTAGATGTTCTCAAGTCCCTGCGTGATGACCTCGGACATATGGGTGTTGATCGTACACTAGATCTAGTTCGAAACAGATTCTATTGGGCCAAGATGGCATCAGATGTGGAGCACAAAGTCAAGACTTGTGGACGGTGCATACGAAGGAAAAGATCACCTGAAAAAGCTGCACCTCTGGTGAATATTTCAACTACTCGCCCCTTACAACTTGTGTGCATGGATTTTCTAAGTCTAGAACCTGATCATAGCAACACCAAGGACGTGTTAGTAATCACTGACCACTTTACTAAATATGCACTAGCTATTCCCACCCCTAACCAAAAGGCCAAAACTGTTGCAAAGTCTTTATGGGAGCAATTCATTTGCCATTATGGTTATCCCGAGCGCCTTCACAGTGACCAAGGCCCTGACTTTGAATCGCATCTAATCAAGGAGTTATGTGAAATAGCTGGAGTGCGAAAAGTCAGGACAACACCATACCATCCGAGGGGAAATCCTGTTGAAAGATTCAACAGAACGTTGTTAAGCATGCTTGGAACTCTAGAGAACAAAAAGAAAAGCTACTGGAAAGAGTATGTAAAACCCCTTGTACATGCTTACAATTGTACTCGCAATGAGACCACGGGGTTCAGGCCTTACGAGTTGATGTTCGGGCGTCAGCCTAGGCTTCCGGTAGATCTGGCTTTTGGATTACCTTTGAAGGATGAGGGAGAAAAAACACATTCACAATATGTGAAGAACCTCAAGTCACATCTTGAACAAAGTTTCCGTATTGCGAGTGAAAATTCAAAGAAGATGGCGGAAAGGAATAAAACCCGCTATGACAGATGTGTGAAAGCTTCAACATTGCACAAGGGAGATCGTGTTTTAGTCAGAAGTGTTCGACTCAGGGGAAAGAACAAACTCGCTGACAAATGGGAAGGAGTAGTTTATGTAGTCATTGACCAACATGGGAATTTGCCAGTGTATAAAGTGTGCCCTGAAACTGAGACAGGACCCATCCGCACATTACATCGGGATTTGTTACTCCCTTGTGGAACTCTTCCATCTGAAGTTCAAGAATGTGAGATCCAGAGTCCAGTTCCCAAACGTAGAACTCGCAGTGAGACAGCTTGTAGACGTTCTGAGGAAACAGAGGAAATCCCTGACTCTGAGGAAGAGGAAAGTTATTGTGTAATGCCTCAACTAAATATTGTGAAGGAATCTTTTGTAGTTCACACTCCTGAAGTGGCTCACCCAAACAGGGAAAGTTCTGTTCCTTTATCTGACGCAAGCTTAGAGGTCCACCTTGGAGTTCAGAATGACGTACCTGAAAGGGGATTTCAGGTCATTGATGAAATATCTGTGACTGAACCTGTGAATTCTAGAACTGACTTACCTGAAAATCCTGAGATCCAACCTGAAAGGGAAAGGGATGCTGATATGAATTGTTCACCTACATTGGAGCTGCAGAATCCGAATCATAATGGAGAATCAACCATCCTGGAATCCAGTTCAGCTGAGAAAAAGCTAATTGACGAAGAAACAAATGATGCAGATGAGGATGAAATTAAATTGAGAAGGTCTGTCCGTCATAGAGATAAGCCCAAAATTCTGACTTACCCTGAACTGGGGAACCCTCTGGTGACAATAGTTCAATCCCTTCTTCAAGGTCTAAATGTTGCTCTCTCAGAGTCCTTACAGGATTTCTCTCAAGTAGGAAACCCCATAACTCGGGGTTATGCACCTGTTGGTGATATGCAAAGGGACTTGCATACTTCTAGGAGGGGAGGGTGTAACCCAGACTCAAATTAGTCAAATTAGAAAAATATATATATATATTTTTTTTTTTTGTTGTTGTTGCATATGCCCCTTCCAGTAAAACTGTTTATGTGGAAAAAAAGACAGTGATAAAAGAAAATTGAGATAAATAAAATGCTTTATTAATTATATTAGTAATATGCAAATTACTGCGGTAAAATTTATCCAATTAGAGTTGGAATCTGCACTGCAGATGTAGACCTTCCAATCGAGTGCGATCAGCAGCAATGCTGACTCCGCCCACTAGGAGACGTGGTGAAAACTGATAGAGAGAGCTAAAACGGAGAAACGCATGTGATCAAAGCTCCAGAAATTTGAGAGAAACGATCTAATTTTGAGCAAATATTTAGTATACAACTACTAAACATAGCATATAAAAGTTATTTTAAGTTGAATTAAGTGTCAATTTGAGAAGTATTGTGAAAGAGCTTACCTGTTATGGCCTTGTTGATCCTGAACGTCGAGCCAAAGTTAGTTGAGTCATCGCTATAGTTCGTGGTGTAATCTGGAGAAAATATTAACAGAACACTGTTAATTCAGAGGAATCGGTGAGTTGTGGATTTATTTTTCATATATGTGATGAATCACAATGGTTTATTGTATTTCTATGTGTGTTAAAATTAAGTGATATGTTCACTGTATGTGAAGTATGGCCTATGTTATATATGAACACTAAATGTTGATGTGAAGAGTAAATATTGTTGAAACAGAGGTTAGAAATGAGTTTCTAAAAATGTTATCCTGTGTGTACAGGCCAGTTTTTGTTGTTTATGTAGAAGTTGGATTTTTCTACTGTGATTCACGTGCATGGTGAGGATTCATCAAGCCGTGCTGAGAGAAAAGAAAGATGGCGAGCCTCCCGGACTGAATTTGGATCTTTTACTTCTTACCTTCTCATCCACTTAGTGGTGTCGTTTCCTTCTGAAATCTGAATGGACTGAGGTATATTTTTCTGAGCTGAAATTATCGAATGGACTGAAGTGTGTATAATCTTTATTTTTGCAATTTTGTGATCTCATTTACAATTTGTTTTTTATATATACAGATATATCTCTTAAAAGAAGTGTTATTTGGTTACATATTGTACATTTTTGAGGTAAATTTATGTGAATTGTTACTCTAATTGTATCATCTGGGTTAAAATACTGATTTGAGTTTGTATTTGAAGCGGCTGGTTTAAACTACAGTAAAGACAGGAAAATCAGGACATTAAATTGAAACTAAACTTATTACTCTACAACAAATAGTCATATTTAAACTAGAGAAACCAAGAAATTCAAACCTCAGCCGAAAAGGAAAGAGGAAATTTATCAACCAGAGATTCAAGAAAGAAAAAGCTTTGTTGACAAATTTATTTGTTTTCTTTTGGGTTTACAATTTATTTCAAGTCAGAACTTGATCAGGGTTGATCATATTGTATTTTTTCCCTTGTCAAAAGTTTGACATTTCATTTGGTTTACCTTTGTCATTTATTATTTACTGTTCATTTCATTCATTACATCAATACAAAGAAAAAGTCATAATAGCTAATACAACAAGAAAAAAAATCAAAAAAACCCTCAAACTTGTGTTGTGTGTGCTTTTTGCTTGGTATCTTCTGATTGGCCCATTGATCTGGCTCAGTGTATTGAACCAAATTCTAGTTGCTACCTGTTGGCATTGAGTCAAGCATTCAGTTAAAATTGTTGTATACACTTCTGACGAGTGGGTGTTACATAATCAATAATACAGAACTTACAACTAGCTCTTAACTATCTCTGTCTTCTTTTTCGTCTCTCTCTTTTGCGTTTTCTCTTTTAGTCCCGCCCCCTCAAAAACCTGATAGGTTCCCAAACTGCTCTTTGATTGGATAATAAACAAAACTGACACCTGGCCACCCAATTCAAAAGAAAATGACCAGGGAGGTTCAAGGGCTACTCACAACAGAGGATATTTCAACACCTCACAATTTATTAACACATAATAATACAAAAACAAAAAAGAAAAGGTGTTACCAGGGACAATTGAACTGGCCCATATTTCAGGACATAGATACTATATTTCTGTTAGCAGAACACAAAAGAAACAATATATACATTTAGCAGGGTGCTACATCAATAATATTCTTGTTCTCCAACTTATAAAACACAAATCTTGTGGCATTTCACAGCAACACTAGTTTATTAGGTAACACATTTACTTTATGTGAATCTAACAAAACATTTGCTCACTGTGACACAGAACAATGCTTTCTAATATGTTTCCCTAGACTACTTGATTGGGTGAAACTCTTCTCACACTGAGTACAGTAGTACGGCTTCTCTCCAGTATGAACTCGCTTGTGTAATTTCAGAGTTCCAGCCTGAGTGAAACTCTTGTCACAATATGAGCACTTGTAAGGTTTTTCTCCAGTATGAATTCTTTGGTGCTGTTTCAGATCACGAGATGTAGTAAAGCTCTTCCCACAGTCAAAGCACATATAATCTCTCACTTCATTGTGTGTTTTCTGGTGCAGTTTAAAACTGATCAGCCTTGAAAAACTCTTTCCACAGAGAGAACACACATAAGGCTTCTCATCTGAATGAACTTCCAGGTGTGATTTTAGATGTGCTGATGAATTAAAATCTTTACCACACTGATCACAGTTAAATGTTTTTTCTCCAGAGTGAATGAGCAGATGAACACTGAGACTTGATGCTTGAGAAAAACTCTTTCCACACTGAGTGCATGTAAACGGTTTCTCTCCAGTGTGAATTCTCATGTGTGTTTTAAGGGTTCCTTTGTGTGTGAAACTCTTTCCACACTGAGTGCAGGTGTGCGTCTTTTTGGCTTTTGTTCTTTGAATTGTAAAGTTACGATGTTCCTCCTCCACTTCATTCAGTTCTTGTCTTTGCTCTTTCACTCTCACCTGGTCTAAAATACACAGAAATACAGTTAGAATCAGTTCAAGTGAACCCTTATTTAATAGCAGAAAACAACAGAGATCAGATCTTTCACTTTTTATTTCTCATTCATTGTTAATATAGCTAAATTTGTTTGACAACGGCTAAAGGTTATTAGCGTTTTTCTATCATTTATCATCCATATACTGCTTATTAATTCACATCTACCAAAGCATCACCAATGAAGAATCAAGAATGGACACCAACCTATTTGTTCCTCAGTATCTTCATGTTTTATTCTGGATGGTTCTGGATCACTCATGTCTTCAATCTCCTCTTTAATAAACTCCATCTTTAACAGTCACACAGATTTCAGCTGCTACTCCTGGAGTTTGTCCTTCTCTTGTAGGATGATGGGAATATTCCCAGTATTTATTGGTGAATTGTTGTGGGAGGGGCTTCGCTGCAGGTGTGAACTGTGATCACTGTGTTTTTATCCAATCTGCATTTAAAAAGTACAGGGCCATCATGTTAAACTGAGCAGCTGAAAAACCTCTTTGTCTCCAAAAGTTCCCTGTTTTCAGCTCATTCATTATGGTGATGTCTTAGATCTTCTGTAAATTGGCACATTAAGCTCATTTTATTGGTGTCAACAGGCTGAAACAAACTACAGCATCATCACATTTAACTTCAGTTCTTGTCTTTGCTCTTTCACTTCCATCAGGTCTGAAACATTAAAACATATTAAGTTGTTAGAATGAGTTCTGGAGGATAAATGTGAATTTTCAAGTGAACCCTGATTTAATAAAAGAAAACAAGTGAGATCTGTTTATCAAATATCATATTTTTGTTGTACTAAAGGTTAGTTTTGTCATTCTCTTGTTAATAGTCAAAATGTGAATGACAACTACTGTACAATATTATGATCTAAGTGCATTTATGTCATATATTCCTGAATTATTTGCTTATTTCTCACAGCTCGTATGATTGGCATCTAACAATACTATATATATATATATATATATATATAAACTAAGCCAAACAGATCATCATGCATTTGAACTAATTGAAACCATTCATAAAATCAGCAATGACTTTTGTGTACTGTAAAAAAAAAAAGGTGCCTCAAATATCCTGTCGAATACTCAATGAACTTAAAAATGTAATTTAATTGCCTAAAAAATATAACGTAATTTTTACGATAAAAAAACGGCAGGTGTGGTTGCCAGAACTAGCTAGGATAAATAGGCTAAACTTTTAGCCAACTCCCCACAGAAAAGTCTGTTCCCATCATTTTACCACAGGTTTCACACATAATCTGTGTGCAATGCGTGTGCGGTGCGTGTACGGTACAGAAGCAGGACGCGCTATAGTGCTTTCTATGCTGCGTTTGCAGTGCGTAACTGATCCGCGGCTGTACCACAAACACCCCGGTACTCACTATTTTTATTTTAACACTCACTATTTTAACAACATAAGCCAATTATTCCATGCATTACTTCTATATATTAAGTTGCTCAAGCAAGTGGTCAAATATGTAACCATGTACTTATATTAAAATCGCAAACATTTTAAATTAAAACTTAAAATTGACAAAAACAACCGACTCTCATGCCTTTTCTTTTGCATTTACATTTTAATACAACAAGTTATAAATATCCGGATAAGTTACGGCTGGCAATAAGGACGGATCTTTACTTAAAGGAGCACTTCACCCATTTCAACATTAATCTTTATTGAAAGTGGGTCATATATGTAGTCGAAATGTAAAAGAATTTTTGAATTTGGTGCCCTCTTGACCGAGAAAAGACAGAAAATAACTTTTGGGCGCATTTGTATGTAAGACAACAACTCCCACAATGCACCACATTGCACAGCTCCGCAAGCCACTCCCACTAATCCAGAACAGCGCAAACATCACAAATCACTCTTCCGTCTACAAGGCTAACGTTAGCTGCCACCAGAGTTAGAAATTCATTTCACACAAAATTTATAGTTAGTTGGCTGTGGCGAGCAGGACGAGGGCGAGCCGAGGCACGTGAGATGACTGCGCGAGGCCGGTGGCGTGAGTGATAATGAACGACACCGGTGAGACGCACCGGTCTCTCTCGCGTCTCTCACCGAGGAGCGGACGCATAAAACGAGGAGCGACGACAGGGCAGATCGAGTGAGGAACAGGCCTGATTTTATGTTGTGTTTTGTTTCTGTTGTGTGTGGCCAACAGTGAGGGGCTGCTGGCTTATACTTTTGTTTTGTATTTGTTTATTTTACTATTAAAATGTTTAAATGTTTGCCGGTTCCCGCCTCATTCTTCCCACAACAACGAACCCCGTTACATTGACAAACTCATTAGCGAATTACTCCTCGTTTGTATTTCTTTCTATATGGTGAATTATTGCATGATACCTGGTTCAGTCAGAACATGCGGTGCGACACGAGGATGGTTCACATCACAACACAAACGTCCGTGTGCTCGTCTAATCAGAGAGAAATTGCTATCGTTGAAATTCTCTACAGCAGACGGACTCTATCTGTGTCCGTAGCGCACACGCACCAGCAGTCCGCCCAGCTCGAGCCAGTCCGGGCTCCTCGTCCGCCTCCTGTTCCTCCATCAGCCTCAGCTGCTCTTCACTATATTGCGGCTCGTATAAATAGCCACGAACATCAGTTTCGAGCAAAAGATTTTCAAAATCCTCGTCTTCCATATCGTGTGTCGTAAATTCAGGCATTATGGTAAATCTAACTCCTTGAGCGCTTGTTAGCTTAGCTTGCTGTCTTCCAAGCAAGATGGCGGATTAATAGTTTAGTTTCTTCAGGTTTAGTCCCACCCACTGATCTGTAATAGGCCGGTGGGGTGAGTGGGTCCCACGCCCTTGAATAATAATGAGCTAAAGGCTGTAGTTTTCTTAATATGCAATGAAATTTATCTTCCGTCCTTTCGTGACGCAAAATGACGATATTTACGTCACGATAGGACGGAAGTAAAACACTTAAATCCTTTTTTCTCCCATCTCAGAAAAAAAACAAGCAAAATTCCACCATCATTATAATATATGACTGGGTTTCTAACAATACAAACCTTAATGCAAATGGGTGAAGTGACCCTTTAATGCTATTGGGTCTATTTGATGTGGGTCCACACCAATCAAGCTTATCTTCTCTTGATACCGACGAGATGAAGCCAGGCTACTGCTCCCCTCAACTCAAATCTGCGCGCGGCTAGGGGCAGCAGGGCAGATGTCATGTCAACAATATGGCCACGTTCTTTAACGGTTCGCGTGGAAACAAATTCTGTGACGCCAAAACCCCTCGTGGACGAAGAAAGCCGTTGTGTTTACAACTGTGACAATAAGCGCTTACCAGGATCAACTAATCACTGGATTTTCAAAAGTATGTGAAGTTTGCGGCTCATTGTTGCAGTAAACTTGCACAACGCTCTTGAATGAATAATTTATTAGATGCACACCGGTGTGTTATTGTAGGGACATCGACATAATATTGTCACGCCCCTAAACATGACGTGGAACAAAATGAACTGTGATTGGTTGCGTTACATGTCAGTCAAACATCCTCTTGGGCGGTCCTTGGCCAAGAAAAGCTGCGATAGAGTCCAGACCTTCTGTCGTCAGTCTGAAGGTCTGGCAATGCGAGACTATAGCGAATGCCACCCCGACAGGCTGATTATGAGCCCGACGCGAAGCGGATGGGTCTTGAATAAGCCTGAAGGGTTTGTATTCGCTATACCCATCCTCTGATGGCTACTTCTAGCAGGATAATGCACCATGTCACAAAGCTCGAATCATTTCAAATTGGTTTCTTGAACATGACAATGAGTTCACTGTACTAAAATGGCCCCCACAGTCACCAGATCTCAACCCAATAGAGCATCTTTGGGATGTGGTGGAACAGGAGCTTCGTGCTCTGGATGTGCATCCCACAAATCTCCATCAACTGCAAGATGCTATCCTATCAATATGGACCAACATTTCTAAAGAATGCTTTCAGCACCTTTAGAATCAATGCCACGTAGAATTAAGGCAGTTCTGAAGGCGAAAGGGGGTCAAACACAGTATTAGTATGGTGTTCCTATAATCCTTTAGGTGAGTGTACTTTGTAAATAACAACATTTTTATTAAATTTTTTTAGTGCACACCAAGCATTCACATTGCTTTATAAAATTTAGGTTAAATCACTGGAGTCATATGGATTAATTTAATGAGGTTTTTACTACCTTTATGGATCTTGAAAGTGATAGTTTTTCAGACGATCAATGGAGGGACAGAAAACTCTCAGATTTCATTAAAAAGATATTGATTTTGTGTTCTAAAGATGAACAAAAGTCTTACAGGTTTGGAATGACATGAGGGTGAGTAATTAATGACATAATTTTAATTCAAGTACAACTGAAAGTAAGAACTTTTAACAATTTCTTTTGTTGAAGGATAATGCTACCATAAATAGATTTATACATTACAAGAATTGGTCGCAAAACTACAGTGAATGTGGCTTGGCAGCCAACCAAAAAAGTTTTTGCACAACTGGGGCTGAAAGTGTAAAATATCCAGTTAACGAGACTGGTATTGTGTTTTAAAAATTTTTTATTTTAGTGTAGTTTACATTGTATGGTGATTTTCATTTTTAGTTGACAACAAAGCATTATCTAACTGGCATGATAATGTCTTGTCAATCTGTTTCTTTGTTAGGATGTCAATGACAAGGACTCGTACCACCAAATTCCAGTGGGAATCCTCTGCCTGGATTCAGAAAGTCCACAGCTTACAGGTTAAGTCTTACAGGTTTGGTAAGTCTTACAAAATCTTACAGGTTTGGAATGACATGAGGGTGAGTAATTAATGACATAATTTTAATTCAAGTACAACTGAAAGTAAGAACTTTTAACAATTTCTTTTGTTGAAGGATAATGCTACCATAAATAGATTTATACATTACAAGTATTGGTTGCAAAACTACAGTGAATGTGGCTTGGCAGCCAACCAAAAAAGTTTGTGCACAACTGGGGCTGAAAGTGTAAAATATCCAGTTAACGAGACTGGTATTGTGTTTTTAAAAAAAATGTATTTTAGTGTAGTTTACATTGTATGGTGATTTTCATTTTTAGTTGACAACACAGCATTATCTAACTGGCATGATAATGTCTTGTCAATCTGTTTCTTTTTTAGGATGTCAATGACAAGGACTCGTACCACCAAATTCCAGTGGGAATCCTCTGCCTGGATTCAGAAAGTCCACAGCTAAACCCTTTCAGAGTGCACATCATCTTGGAAGGGAGCTTAGTGATGGAACCGGAAAACCTGCCTCAGGCCCCGTCCACACTACTTCGTTTTCGTTTAAAAACGGAGACCTTTTGCTACGTTTGCACCTCCCGTCCAGACTAAAACGGCAAAAACGGAGACCCAAAACGGAGAAGTTTAGAAACGCTGCCGATCCGTTTTTCGTTTTGAATCTCCGGAGGGCGTTTTAGTGTAGACGGGTCAAAACGGAGGACTTTAGAAACGATGACGTAGTAGAGGCTCCCGCTCGGCTCTATGATTGGGTGTCATCAGTCATGGCGTATATCTTTGCTAGCAGCTGTTGTACAAGTAAATTCTGCATTTTACAACGCTATAACTGCCTACATGCGCCGGAGTCAAGCTATTATTCGAGCGATCTGTGACAATTCCCGTGTGCAGCGGCGGCGTTGACCGTACATGGAGCGTCGGTTTGGGGTTAACCCAGAGCATGGTGGGATAATTTTAGCAATGAAGTTGTGTTTACACCGGCACGCGCATGCCCAGTGTTGGTGAATGGTCACGTGATCCGAGTTTTCAGTCGTTTTAATGTGGACGGAGATCAATTCTAATACGCAGCTAAAACGCTGGTGTGGACGGAGATCGTATTCGTTTTAATTATCCGTTTCTAAACTAAAACGCAGTAGTGTGGATGGGGCCTCAGGCCTTCTGTCTTCTCTTCGGACTCATTTATGCCCTGCACTTGGACTATCCGAAGTACATGAAAAACACTTTCCACTTCATCCAGCAGGTATTTCTCAACTTGGGAAAGGGTGAGCTGACACCTAAAATTCAATCGTTAAAAAAATCAGCTGGCAGTTACAGTGTAACGGGGCTTCCTCTACACAAGACATCTACTTTTTTTTTCCGTTATCTTTTAATATTCACTGTACTGTGAAAAAAGCCCCAGGTTACATTTTGTTCAAGAGATGACATGCTACTTTAAAGTTTGGTTGTTCAAACCAAAGTTTTATTGTTTTGATGTAGGTACGTAGTTCTGCCTTCTGATCTGAGAAACTTTGCTCTGTTGCACTTTGAAAATAACATGTTTCCTTACACTGCTAGTTTAGCAGACTATATCTGCAGGAAGTAAAATTTGGCAAATAAAAGCAGGTTGATGTGCAAGAAAAGCAAGAAAATGTGTTGTTCAAATGAAGATCATAACTTTAGTTTTTGAAAGAATGTAAGTGAATGCAAACTGTAGTTTTAATGTTATATCTGTATACATATACAGTTGTTTTATGGGAAAAATGTTCTCAGGAGAATTGTTCACACATTTTGCCTCTTTACAAGCATTTAATTAAGGGTTATTAGCTCTACTTGTTTCTGAGTAGACACTCTTATTACAAAAGTTAGAAACCTCTTAAACTTGAAGGCAAGAAATGATGTTTCTTCACTGTGTTGTATATTGAAATGAAAAGATTTCAATTGAAATAAAAAGAGGTGAAAAATGTTCTTATGTTGTTTGCTTGCTTTTAAATTATTTTACTCAAGTTATCAAGTACACATTTCTTAATTTTTTTAGGGCAACCAGTTTTCTCCAATTTTTTAAGTATACGGGCTAGTACATTGAACTTAAAGGCACACTGTGGAATTTCTGGCCACCAGGGTGCGCTCGACCTGTAATTTTCACGTCTAGTGCCCCTAGAGGCCACAAGCGCCGCAGCATTGTCGCAAAGTCAACAAACAGTCAACCGGTCAACCTCCCGTGTCTTTATGTGTGTGCAGACGGCATTTGATTTGTATGTTGGAGAAAGTAAATCGATTCACTACTGACCAAAATAATAATATAAATATAAGATTAATAATATAAATCCTATAAAGAAAACAAATTGAATAAAAGTAGCATACGCAGAAAACAATGTCTGATCAGGTAAGTCGCATTGACAAGGGTTGCCCAATCCTGCTCCTGCCGATCGTCTGTCCTGCACAGTTCATCTCCAACCCTAATCAAACACACCTGAAGCAAACAATTAACGTCTTCAGGATCTCTTTGCAATGGGTTGGAGATGAAATCGAGTAGTCGGGAAATCGTGTAACAAAACTGATATAACTCACTACATATTTCCGTTATTTGTAGTCTTCAGTTTGTTTTTCCTTTTACACAAATACAAACATATATGAGCTGAAAGGAAAAAAACATTTACATTTGTATACGGCAGTATGTTGTGACATATCAGTTTTGTTACACGAATTCGCAGTAAATATTACATTATATATACACTTTTATGCCGATGTTTATTTTAAACTCTCCCTTTTTCTTTTTTTGGTCTCCTCTGACAAAATCTTTGCTTTCTTCGCTTTCTTCCGAGTAGCTGTTGATTCAGCCATGACGACAACATACAGACGCCGGCAATCAAACGCGAGTTGAGGAAGTTGGGGTGGTGGGGGAAGTGACGTATGCCGTAAAGCGGTCGCATTTTGTAGTTCTTTTTGTGCTCGGGTTCCTACCCGAAACCCGAAGTTACATAGTGCTAGTAAAAGCGTTACAGACACCTTCAGGCTTCGGCAGACGTGTCATTCAACCTATTGTAAGTCGATGTACCATCTCAATGAGTTTTGGTAATATATTGTAAAGGTTGAAAAGTTCCACAGTGTGCCTTTAAATATACTATGTGTAATAACTGCAAAGTTATTGATATTACAAAACATTTTAAGTTAAATTAACTTGAATTTTTTAAGTTACCATTACTTAATTATTTTAGGGCAACCAGTTTGCTCACATTTTTTAAAGGTCCCCTGACATGGGGTTATTTTATAATGTTTCCTGGGTTGCCCATGTAATGTTAGTATGTTTTTTAGATCAAAAATAGTCATAATTTAGAAATAAAAGGCATTTTTCCTAGCCTGATTTTAGCCTCTGATTTGAACGCTCTGTTTGAAGGGGCGTGTCTGCTGTGGGATTCAGTGTAACCGCCCACTGCTGTGATTGGCTGACATGCTTGCATATGAAATAGTTACGTATTACGTATGTGAAACTCTCTCGAATACTTTTACTACAGCTATTATACGTTTTTTACTATTACAGCTATCGAGATTAACGAATCGTGAGAAGTTTTTAAAGTATTTAGATCTATTCCCATCACATAAAATGTTGCCGTGATGAGCATTGAGCAAGCAGATGACAGATCGCGAGAATGAAGATCTTATCATTGCAATGCAGTTTCTGCACTCTTTCTAATGCTTTCACCAATGCAAACACGATGATGTACATACAGTAAGAGCTTCGTTGTGCAGTGTAACGTGCGTCATTGATTTCATAACGAGTTGTCCAGATAAACTCGCGCTGTAAGGAAAGATTGTTCTTTGATCGCTTTCTGTATATAATTTGTTCACAATTTAAATAAGATTATTTTTATCCTACTAAAAGAAACGATGTGAAGTTGATATTTCAGAGAAAATAAAATTAACCCATTGTTTCTTCAGAGGCTCGGATGAAGGAACTAAAAAATACTTTTGTGTTCATTTGTACATCCGGCGAACACTGATCAACTGCCATGCTTCACTCGTTTGCAAGCCATGATATCTCTCGAGGAAAAACAAAACTCAAATCGCGTTCGTACTTCCTAGCTCATTTTCTCATGGGCGAGCCAAATTCTCTGGGCGGGCAAAGCAGAGAACCTTTCCCCTATATGACGTCATACGGAGGAGATTCAAGATCAGCCCGTCTAAACTTTCATTTTCTCACAGGCAGAGAAAGATAGCCAAGCTCGGTTTACACCGATTGAAATTTCTAGACACGAGGGGACCAAATACAGGCTAGGGGAACTAATATTAATGTTAAAAAACCTCAGAAAGTGAAAATTTCATGTCAGGGAACCTTTAAGTAGATTCAACTTGCCCAGGCTAACAGTGCAGGTTTACATAATGAATTAATCTCTTGTCACAATATGAGCACTTGTAAGGTTTTTCTCACTTTAAAACATTCCATCCTGTTTCATAAAATCACAGAAATCATTATAAAAGACTGGTGTCAAAAGTCTCATTTACATGTTTATAAAAACACTTCATTAAATTACACAAGCATATTCATGTTGGTATAGAAATAAACAGAAATACACACGAGCAAATTAATAAACAGTCTGCGATATTTGAGACGGTTTTATGCAGATCATAACGTTTTCTATCGCATTATATAAATACACTTAGGTATGAAACCATGCTTGGAATGTTATGAATGTTAATGAGTCATTCAGTTACATTGTTCAGTTTACAGATAAGTAATGTCTGAAATAAAAAACTGTAACAGTTGGGAGCCAAAAAAACAAAAAAGTCATTTAACTGAATTGATTGCTAATTGATGTTTGCCCTGTTTTTATTTAGTTTTCAGTGTGTGTAGGTTCTGTTTTCCCTGTGCCTGTCATCTGACCCTGTTTTCCAGTGTGTCTGATAAATTATTATGTTCACCTGTTCGGTATCTATTCTATTATCTCATTGGTTCTCCTTTTTATTTGATTATAAAATGTGTTTGTTGTCGTCTATGTTTGAATGTGGTTGTGTTTTCCCGAAATTCCCAGTCAGATTTATTATTAAAGACGGTTCTTTTCCTTAATCTCCTGGGTCATGCGATTTTTGCAACCATATCGTGATAAGATTTTTAGGTGTCTATAAAGAACGCCTCCATGTTAAAGAAATCTAGTGTAAGCGTTAGATCAGGCAGGCCACGTAGGCATAGCTCAGAATCAGCCGCTGCACCCAGTTCTCACCCACCTTCCCCCCTTTCCTGTTTCCCGTTACCAGCGGTATCCTCTGGGTGATGGGCGCTCCACTCTCATTGGTAAGAGCTTTCTCTCAGGCTCCCCAGCTCGCATCACTTATGTAAATAGTGTTTGTTTTAAACATAAATAGAGAGAGCAAAGTACAAAGATTTATTATACCTTAATCTAAGTTGTAATATTTGGCAGATTTTAGGTCTTGGCAATTTGATATGAAGACATTAACTTATAATAATTGAATAAATTAATTCTTCAGCCATATTAATTCAAGCTAAAAGTTCTATGAACACTGTTTTTTTCTCCATCCAAAAAAGTCATGTCACTGGTTTTCCACTGGAACATCTGGATAACGTCTCGGTTACTGATGTAACCTTAGTTCCCTGAAGGAGGGAACAGAGATGTTACGTCCATATTGACGTATTGGGGTCTTGAGAGCCCCAATCACCTTTGAGTAGTAAAAAACGGTCCAATGAATATTGGCGAGTGAGATTTGCATGCTGAGCCACTCCGACCCGGACATACGGGTGTAAAAAGCCGGCTAGCACTCACTCATTTGAATTCTTTGGTGCAGTTTCAGATGATCAGTTCTAGTAAAGCTCTTCCCAGTCACAACACACTTGATCTCTCACTTCATCATGTGTTTTCTTGTGCCGTTTAAAACAGTCCAGCCTATAAAAACTCTTTCCACAGAGAGAACACACATAAGGCTTCTCATCTGAATGAAGTTTCAGGTGTTTATTTAGATTTGATGATGAGATAAAATCTTTACCACACTGATCACAGTTAAATGGCTTTTCTCCAGAGTGAATGAGCAGATGATGACGGACTCTTGATAAACGAGAAAATCTCTTTCCACACTGAGTGCATGTATACGGTTTCTCTCCAGTGTGAATTCTCATGTGTGAGTCAAGGTTTCCTTTCTGTGTGAAACTCTTTCCACACTGAGTGCATGTATACGGATTCTTCCGAGTGTGAATTCTCATGTGTGAGTCAAGGTCTCCTTTCTGTGTGAAACTCTTTCCACACTGAGTGCATGTATACGGTTTCTCTCCAGTGTGAATTCTCATGTGTCTGTAAAGGTTTCCTTTCTGTGTGAAACTCTTTCCACACTGAGTGCATGTATACGGTTTCTCTCCAGTGTGAATTCTCATGTGTGTGTTAAGGTTTCCTTTCTGTGTGAAACTCTCTCCACACTGAGTGCAGGTGTGCGTCTTTTTGGCTTTTGTTCTTTGAATTGTAAAGTTTCGATGTTCCTCCTTCACTTCATTCAGTTCTTGTCTTTGCTCTTTCACTTTCACCTGGTCTAAAATACACAGAAATACAGTTCGAATCAGTTCAAGTAAACCCTTATTTAATAGCAGAAAGCCACAGAGATCAGGGGCCTCATGTTTGCGTACGCACAAAAACTTTGCGTACGCCAGCTTTCACGCTCATGGTCGGACGAACTAACAGTGGAATTAACGCGAGAATGTGCGTTCCTCCACGCCAATTTCATGTCTGGCATACGTACGTACATTTCTTATAGTTTTTGTCCGTTAGCGACTCTTACAGGCAATGAAGTCAAGTTGCAAACATTACACAACAAATTGTTCTGCAAGTCTATCGCACCACCACATGTGGGAAGCATTGCTATTGTAAATTATATAAGATCTATAATTCCGCTCGAAGGGGGTCTCGCCCAGGGTGTAATTCAATGTAGAACCGCCACTGTTTGAGTCTGTTCTTCATTAATGGGAAAACGCCACTGATCTATATAATGACATATATAATGTCATTCTATATTAGTGTTGTCACGATACTAGAATTTCTAACTTCGATACGATACTTTGAAAAATATCGATATTCGATACCATTTTCGATACCACGGAGAAAAAACTGCCACAATATTAAGGGGGTATTTTTTTAATTTAAAGCTAAATATAACAAGTCTAGAACATGACAATGAGGTATATTTTACATGAACAAAAATGTCCTGAGTTCTATTTGTTTATATTTTTTAATTGGACCAGAGCTAACATGATGTATTTTTATTACCTACTGTTATCAAAGATTAAAATATACTGTAACAAAAAAGCACTTAACAGTATCAAATTGGAGGATAGAGAGTCAGTAATGTACAATAATAAGATTAAACATTCAATTTTCAGTTAAAGGCATGTCATTATTAAATTCAGAGATGCCATTGTCTAGCTGTTTAGTTTAATTAATATCTGTGTAATCAAATTGATGATTAGTGCTGTGTTGAAAAAATCGATTCACCAATTCTGAATCGATTTTCATATTAATTTCTAAAGATCGATCCGTAACTCAGAGGATCGATTTTAATAGGTTTACATTTTCCCCGTGAACTTTAACTTGCCGCGACTGGGAGATCCCTGTATGCGCATTGAAAGGCTTTCACTCAGCGCGCACATTGTTACGACAACGGGCTTTGAGTGAGTCATTAAACCGTTCATTCAACGAACACGTTCAAAAAAGCTGATTCATTAAAAGAGATGTAATGAAACAAGGTGTTAATTATTTTTTAACTTTGAGTTCCACTTTTCAAGGCTCAGCTGAGCAGCAATGCGTCGCATGGGTAACGCTGAAGCTGATGCTTTACTTATTAGAGACCAATATGGCATTGATTCAATGCGTGACTCGCTGATTTTATTTCCCCGCGGCTTCCTCGCGCAGTGGGATGCTGACCAGCGCTGCTGCTGACGCGCATTTATGGTAAATACCCGTGACGTGAACGTTAAAAGGATGATACGACAAATATTTCGCTTTCCTTTGACACGGCAACCTTTTTCACAAATACATATATGACTTCAAAGACAGACGCAGGTAATCGCACGCGCTCTGCCGATCTCTCTCATTCACTGTCTGTGCGAAGCCTCTGTAGGCTACACATCACCACGATAAACAGTCTTGTTTGTTATCATTATGAACTTGTTTAACATTCAATACACATGCATGAAGTTCAAAACAAGAAGGGTATAGCCTTATAAAAAACGTGAATATCGCGGTTGCTGCGGTTACTTGCAATCCTCTGCGGTGACTGCTGCTGATATACCTCTGCGTCCTCTGTCGTCTACACCAGTGCAAGTTTGTGAAAGCAGTTGTATCAACACTCTGGAAGGGGGATTGTTCTTTACAACCATCCATACTCCATTAATTTGCAGTTAAATGTCTATAATAATTGTATCAATATGTTGCATAACTACAGTCCTGTAATTCAACAGCTGGAAAAAAAATATGCTTTTTTCAAAAACACTTATCTTAATCTCGAAGATCGGATCGGATCGGATCGAATCGAATCGAATCGAATAATGATAATCGATTCAAGATCTTGAGAATCGGAATCGAATCGATTCTTGAAATTTGAATCGAAACCCAGCACTATTGATGATAATCGCTAATGAAGGAAAATTGCAGAATTAAATAATAATTTTTGAATAAAGTTAAATAGGCACCAGTTAATTTACATTTGACCACAGTTACAATATTTACTTGTCTAAGATTCCTCAGTCAGATTATGTTAACTTTAAGAATTAAAACGAGACAACACAGACTCTTATCAACAACAAAACTAGGCCATCTTGGTTAATGTTTCAGAAAAGTTCAAATGAGAAGAGTTACAGTGTTTCCTTGAGGATTTTTTTTTAGCAGTGGGGGCAGGTCTGTCCAAACAACACACACCCCTGATGCTGAGCATATGCTGCTAAATAGTAGCCTACCCCTGGAGCCTGTTCCTTAAGTCTGTTTTCACCTATACAATAATTTAAAAAAATGAGTGATGTGAGAGATTATTGATAGTCAAACAATCTGTTGGGTGCCCGCAGCCCGCTCGTGTGTCCGCGCTATTCTCCGACATGCCCGCTCGCGGTGTGTAGCTCGTGTCCGCGCTATTCTCCGACATGCCCGCTCGCGGTGTGTAGCTCGTGTCCGCGCTATGCTCCGACATGCCCGCTCGCGGTGTGTCGCTCGTGTCCGCGCTATTCTCCGACATGCCCGCTCGCGGTGTGTAGCTCGTGTCCGCGCTATTCTCCGACATGCCCGCTCGCGGTGTGTAGCTCGTGTGCGCGCTATTCTCCGACATGCCCGCTCGCGGTGTGTAGCTCGTGTCCACGGTATTCTCCGACTCCGACATGCCTGCTCGCGGTGTGTAGCTCGTGTCCACGCTATTCTCCGACATGCCTGCTCGCGGTGTGTTTTTTACGCGTGTCCGCGCTATTCTCTGACATGTCCGCTCGCGGTGTTCTTTATCAATCAACCAAAGCCGGTCGCGGGGGCGCCGCCCTCGCCATCTTTCCATTTACTTCACTTTTGCTATTTAACCAGAGCGAATGAGACGAGTGCGTCACGTGTGGTGTTTGTCAACGCGCCTTTGGAGAGAAGTGAAAGTGACCGCTCGGCTAGTATCGATACTTCGGGAAATTAGTATTGGTATCGTTCAGATATTTCAGTATCGATATTTATCGAAATATCTATATTTTTGACAACACTATTCTATATAGATCAGTGGTACATGCATTTGCCATAAATGCAATGGATACGTTGTACTTTTGGTCAGCTACATTGCATGCACTGGAAAATTAAATAGGTAAGCTATATGTACCATAGTAAAAACAAATGAGAAATTGGTTACCTTCGTGGCAGTCCTGTAGTAAATCCGAGTCTCCCACAGCCAGGGGCGTAGCAACCGGGGGGGACGGGGGGGACACGTCCCCCCCACTTTTAGAAACAGGTGATTCTGTCCCCCGCATTTTTTTTTACTCAGCGCCAATATTTCCGCCCGTGTTCTCTGATTTGTTACTTAGACTTGAGTGAGCTAACATTCAGCCAATCACAGCGCGAAGCATCTATTGGGCGCGTCTGCCATGAGCTTCAAATCTGTGTTGTTGCTCTTGCGAATTTTCGTGTTTGTTTAGTCGCTTTGCTGTTTGGCCGTCTAATGCACCCCAGAAAAAAAAGCAGAGGACTACATCATTTTTTTTCAAACACACACTGTTACAGTATGTCGCGATGACATGAATCACAGGTAAAGTTTCCTTATTATGATTTAACCTACTGTAACGCTGTAAGAAGTGTAAGACAACAGAACCCGTATGGGTTCACGTCGCGCCGGATTGTGCCGAGTGTGTGTTAAATGCTCTCCTACTTGTTGCTTTGGATAAAAGCGTCTGTTAAATGAGCCATAACAGATTATTCCCAGCAGGCACACAACGTCATAAGACGTTGATATTTGGTTAAATTTTGGTTGCGACGTCGGGTGACCAAAATTCAATGTAAGTTCAACATCTAATGTCAATGTTAAATTGATGTCCAATACCGAATACATTGATTTAGGTTTTATTGATATATTTTTATAAAATGTCTGTTGTATAAAATTACTGTAGGCTATGATGTAATCTGTTATGTACTCATTGCACACGTTTTTTGGCCCAACTGTTAGTAAGATAAAAGTTATTGTTCAAGTGTAGTTTAACTGAAATATTGTAAATATCATAAAATATCTTTATTTCATAAAAATAAAGTATAGATGTCCACAGTTGTCTGAAAGTCCCAAGTCCTGCAATATTTTTTTGTTTCGAGTATGATTTCACAAAAATAGGTTGCTGTAAACTATCATGGCATGTTCCCAAAAATTGGCACTAGGCTGCTGTAAAATGCCAATTGCTATTCCATCTAAAATTTATTATTATGAACATCACCTTTCAGTCCTTCCAGAAAAACGCGATTATGCAATCGCATGATTCAATAATCAGCCAAAGTCCGCATATTTATGCGGGGGCATTTTTTCAAATACGCCGCACTTTTGCCGTATAAATTGCCGATTTCCACGCAAAATATGCGGGGCTTGTATGATTTCATAATCCCCGCATTTTTGGTGCAAAAAAAGTCACATATATCTAAGCAGAAAGTTGAAAAATGTTGCGTTTGCTTCACACGAGAGCAGCCGTTTCCCCCTGTTGCCATGGGAACGTTATGAAGTGACGTAATTAAGCGACATGAACATCATTGAAAAAACAAAACTGTAAAACAGGGAAAAAAAAAATCATATTTTATTTATTCATTTTTACAGAAGTTGTAGCATATTCCTTTTGTAAAGCTACAGAACTTGTTTGACTCAACAATGTTTTGTAAGTTTGAGCCATGTGTTTATTAAGGTCTGAAATAAAACAAGATTAAATATTCCAGCACTTTCTGTGATGTAGTATGTTTGCTTATCATAGGAAGTAATAAGAAATAGCTCTTTACATTAAGGTAGTAGCCTAGTGAGAACAGGGTGTTGGGGAATCACTTTTTCTCTCTTTTTCA